TGAACATCTGCAGGTGTTTCTTATAAAATTATCTATTTCACCAGGTCACTGTGACTTCAACCAAAAATAGGTTTTTGTGCCCTTCACAACATCCTCCTGCTATACATTAATTATTACTCATGATCTATCTTAAACTTATCTTAACCCCAACCCCTTCCCCTTATCCTATCAGGAGAATAACATTACAGGCTTACAGATCTTGCATGTCCTGTCAGTTGCCCCGGCCATGGCCCCTTATCAGACTGACCACAGCTGGTCTCTTCCACATCTGCTATAGGATCAAGGAAATCACAAGTCATACAATTATTTTCATCTTCGAGGATGCAATGAAATCACTAAATAATATAGGTATATTTAAAGCGTAAAGATTACAAAAACAAGCAAGGGGGTTGCAAGGAAACCATACAGCACATAACTACCTTTAGAGATTGCATGGGCATGTCATTGGGAAGGAATACATCGCTCTCGACAAGAACACTGAGAAGAGTTTCTATCACAGATGCACACATCCTCATATGCCAGCCCACCACACATGTCTTCATGTGCAGGTTCAACTTCCACATACTCAGGTTCACGATCAGATTCAGCTCCCGTGCCCATTTCCACAGAGGTTTCAGATATTAGTTACCCCTTCCCTACACAAAAGACAGGTGGGTCCCTAAGATTAAAAGACCCATCATAGGTTACGCCTGGGAGGCTCTTGCTTTTCCACAGGAATTGCACGTACAGTACTTTTCCATTTTGTGCCCCTCAATTGCTGGAAGCTAGCCCATAGAAGGCAATAAAAAATCCTTTTTTTATTTTCAGAAAGTAGGGTGCTTTCCCATAAATGAAAATTATCCAGCCCAACCTCCAGCTGTACAGTTCATGGGCAAGTCCAGACTTCTCTGTCCATAAACAATACGTGCAGCATCTTAGGCAAACATTTGGCCACCAAATTTCTCTGTCTGGTTTCTCTTTCCTTCAGTGTCCCTTCCTGGGGGCTGGGCCTACCCGAGCTTCAGATTAAAAGCATTTGGAGAAG